GCCTTCCCATCTCACCTCTGGACAGACACTGCACCTTTGGTCTCTTGTATCTACTTGACTAAGAGGCACATCCTTCACAAGTATCACTTTATGTCCCACAGTCCAGTCCAGTCCCTGTCTGAAGAGTTGACCTCGGAAATTGTTTTGGTTCTGGGGTGATAGTTCAGGGGCCATGCTTTCTGGGGTGCCTCCAGTCTCAATCAGACCATTAAGTCTGGTCTTCTTACTAGAATTTGAGTTCTGCATCCCATCGTTCTACTGCTCCATCAGGGACCCCCAAAATTTTTTTTTGTTAATCTTTCTTCCAGCCTTCCCCAAAGGGATCTACGGCCTTTTACGAGAGTGACTGTTTACTGGGGAAAAGAAAATAATCAGACTTTTTGGGGATTACTGGATACTGCCTCTGAACTGACACTACTTCCAGGAGACCCAAAACATCACTGTGGCCCACCAGTCAGAGTGGGGCCATATTGAGGTCAGGTTATTAATGGAGTCTTAGCTCATGTCCATCTTACAGTAGGTCCAATGAGTCCCCGAACCCATCCTGTAGTGATTTTCCCAGCTCCAGAATGCATAATTGGAATAGATATACTCAGCAACTGGGCAGAACCCCCACACTGGGTCCCTGACAGTTTGAGTAAGGGCTATTATGGTAGGAAAAGTCAAGTGGAAGCCATTAGAACTGCCCCTACCTAGGAAAATAGTAAACCAAAAGCAACTCTGCATTCCTGGAGGGATTGCAGAGATTACTGACATTATCAAGGACTTGAAGGATGCAGGGGTAGTGATTCCCACCACATCCCTATTCAACTCGCCTGTTTGGCCTGTGCAACAAACAGATGGATCTTGGAGAATGACAGTGGATTATTGAAAACTTATCCAGGTGTTGACTCTGATTGCAGCTGCTGTTCCAGATGTAGTTTCATTTCTTCAGCAAATTAATACATCTCCTGGTATCTGGTGTGCAGTTATTGATCTGGCTAATGCCTTTGTCTCCATGCCTGTTTGGGAGGACCATCAGAAGCAGTTTGTCTTCAGCTGGCAAGGCCAGCAATACACCTTCACTTGCCTACATCAGGGCTGCATCAGCTCTCCAGCCCTATGTCATAATTTAGTCTGGGACCTTGATCACCTTTTCCTTCCACAAGACGTCACGTTGGTCCATTACATTGATGGCATTTTGCTGATTGGACCTAGTAAGGAAGAAGTGTCAATGACTCTGGACTTATTGGTAAAACATTTGCATGCTAGAGGATGGGAAATTAATCCCACAAAAATTCAGGCAGCTTCCACCTCAGTGAAATTTCTAGGGGTCCAGAGGTGTGGGGCATGTTGAGATATTCCTTCTAAAGTGAAGGATAAGTTATTGTATCTAGCTGCTCCCACAACTAAAAAGGAGGCACAATGCCTAGTGGGCCTCTTTGGATTTTAGAGGCAACGTATTCCTCATTTGGGTTTGCTACTCCAGCCTATTTATCAAGTGACTTGAAAATCTGCTAGTTTTGAGTGGGGCCCAGAACAAGAGAAGGCTCTGCAACAGGTTCAGGCTGCCATGCCAGCTGCTTTGCCACTTGGGCCATATGATCCAGCTGATCCAAAGTGCTTGAAGTGTCAGTGGCAGATAGAGATGCTGTTTGGAGACTTGGCAGGCCCCTATTGGTGAATCACAGTGCAGACCCTTAGGATTTTGGAACAAAGCCTTAGTATCCTCTGCAGATAACTACTCTTCTCTTGAGAAGCAGCTTTTGGCTTGTTAGGCCTTAGTAGAGACTGAATGCTTAACCATGGAACACCAAGTCACCATGTGGCCCGAGCTGCCCGTCACGAACTGGGTGTTGTCTGACCCACAGAATCATAAAGTTGGACGTGCACAGCAGCACTCCATCATTAAATGGAAGTGGCATATACGAGACTGGGGCTGAGCAGGACCTGAAGGCACAAGTAAGTTGCATGAGGAAGTGGCCCAAATGCCCATGGTCTCCATTCCTGTCACATTACCTTCCATCTCCCAGTCTGCACCTATGGCTTCATGGGGAGTTCCTTATGATCAGTTGACTGAAGAAGAGAAAATTTGTGCCTGGTTTACAGATGGTTCTGCGAGATATGCAGGTACCACTTGAAAGTGGACAGCAGCAGCACCACAGCCCATTTCTGGGAGCTCCCTTAAGGACAGTGGTGAAGGGAAATCCTCTCAGTGGGTAGAACTTTGAGCAGTGCACCTGGTTGTTCACTTTGCTTGGAAGGAGAAATGGCCAGATATGTGATTGTATACTGATTCATGGGCTGTGGCCAATGGTTTGGCTGGATGGTCAGGGACTTGGAAGGAACATGATTGGAAAATTGGAGACAAGGATTTATGGGGAAGAGGGATGTGGATAGACCTCTGTGAACGGGCCAAAGAAGTGAAGATATGTGTGTCTTATGTGAATGCTCACCAAAGGATGACCTCAGCAGAGGATGATATTAACAATCAAGTGGATAAGATGACACGTTCTGTGGAAACCAGTCATTCTCTTTCCCCAGCTACTCCTGTCATTGCTCAATGGGCTCATGAACAAAGTGGCCGTGGTGGCAGGGATAGAAGCTATGCGTGGGCCCAGCATAGCTTACCAAGGCTGACTTGGCTACATCCGTTGCTGAGTGCCCAGTTTGCCAGCAGCAGAGACCAACACCAAGTCCCTGATATGGCACCGTCCCTCAAGGTGATCAGCCAGCAACCTGGTGGCAAGTTGATTACATTGGACCACTTCTGTCATGGAATGGGCAGTCTTTTGTCCTTACTGGAACAGACACTTACTCTGGATATGGATTTGCCTTCCCTACACGCAATGCTTCTGCCAAAACTACCATCCGTGGACTTACAGAATGCCTTATTCACCATCGTGGTATCTCACACAGCATTGCCTCAGATCAAGGGACTCAGTTCACAGCAAGTGAAGTGCAGCAGTGGGCCCATGCTCATGGAATTCACTGGTCTTAGCATGTTCCCCATCATCCTGAAGCAGCTGGCTTGATAGAAGGATGGAATGGCCTTCTAATGACACAATTGTGGCACCAGCTAGGTGGCAGTACCTTGCAGGGTTGGGGCAGTGTTCTTCAGGAGGCTGTGTATGCTCTAAACCAGTGTCCAATATATGGTGCTATTTCTCCCATAGCCAGGATTCATGGGTCCAGGAATTGAGGTATGGAAATGGGAGTGGCACCACTCACTATTACCCTTAGGGATCCACTTGCAAGATTTTTACTTCCTGTCCCTGCGACCTTATGCTCTGCAGGTCTATAGGTCTTAGTTCTTTGGGGAGGAGTGCTCCCACCTGGAGACACATCACTGATTCCATTGAACTGGAAGCTAAGAATGCCACCTGGCCACTTTGGGCTCCTTATGCCTCTGGATCAACAGACAAAGAGGTGAGTTACTATACTGGCTCGTGTGACTGATCGTGATTACCAAGAGGAAATTGAATTGATATTACATAATGAAGGTAAAGAAGAGTATGTCTGGAATGCAGGAGATCCCTTAGGGCGTCTCTTGGTACTGCCATGCCCTGTGATTAAAGTCGATGGAAAACTATAGTAACCTAGTTCTGACATGACTCCTAATGACCCAGACCCTTCAGGAATGAAGGCTTGGGTCACCCTACCAGGCAAAGAACCATGACCAGCTGAGGTGCTTGCTGAGGGCAAAGGGAATACAGACTGGGTAGTGGAAGAAGGTAATTCTAAATACCAGTTATGGCCGCATGACCAGTTGCAGAAATGAGGACTGTAGTTGTTATGAGTATTTCTGCTTTGTATGTGTGCATCAAATATTTTTGTTTTCTTCACTTATAAAATATAAAATCTAAACAGGGCTAGTGGATTTTCGGTTGTACATGTGTTAGTTGTATCATGTTAGGCACAAGCATGACTTTATAATTGTCTTTTATTCAGAGATTATGTATGGTTTAAGGAGATGTATACTTGTGCTAAGTTGGCAAGGGGTGGTCTGTGATGGTTAAGATTGTTAAGTCAGCTTGGCTGAGCCATGATTCTCCATGTTTATATGTGATCACTCCCATGATGGAATCTGCTGTGAGTGGCCAGTCGGTTGAAAGGAAGTTTCCTTAGGGGTGTGGCCTGCATCCGAATATAAGCAGACATTCTGGCTTTGCTCACTGTGGATCCTGCAGCTGTCTCCTGTTCGTCTGACCTCTGGTTCTTGGGACTTGAGCTATCAGCTTATCTGCCGATCTTGGGATGTGTTGATCTTCACAGCCTGTTAGCAGGAGCCCTGCTCTCTGACCTGCCGATCTTGAGTTCGCCAGCTCCTACAGCTGTGTAATCGAGAGAATTCTTTATCCTGATCCACGGACTTGGGACGTTCCAGCCTCTACAATCACGTGAGCCATTTCCTTGACATAAATCCCTCTGTATATTTATATGCTTTACTGGTTTTGCGTCTCTAGAGAACCCAGCCTGAGAGGCAAGCACTAGAACACAGTTCACACCAATCCATTCTATGGGCTCGATGAACTCTCAGCTCTGCGTCCTCTGAGGTGCTCACACCACTACCTTTCATGAAAGGTTCTTTCCAAGTAGATATGACATTAGCCAGAGGGAAGTTCTGAGCTATCTACTTGGCATCAGGCATTCAGAAATTCTGCCAACCTGTAGCTGAACACAGGACCTTTATCTCCCTCAGAGCTGTTGCTAAAGGTGTGATAGCTTTCAACTTTTCTAGATTCTTGAACCTAGGCCAATGTCCCTAAATCGTTTTAGCCAGTCCTTGTTTCTAACAATTATTATGCTAATTAACAAGTCACAAATTTCACTCAGGAAAACCCACTGAACACTTATTATGCTAATTACAAAACTTCCAGCTGTAAAGTAAGAGCCTGTGGACTGCTAACTGGGATACTAACTCCTCTGGGTTGTAGCTTCAACAGCAATTTTATTATACAGCTCATGCTGAATTATTTCCTTTTAAAGATAGTGTCTCATTTTCAACAACAACAACATTAGCCCTGCTGTAGCAGGGCCTCAAAAATTCAGCTAAGAACTCAGAATTGTTCCTCTCCATGGAAATCTGTAGTAAAAGGTGAAAGATCATGCAAACTGAAGAGGAATCAGAATTTGCCCTTGTCGTACTAACTCACTTCTCCAGTCACTGCTACCCCTAGTGCGCCGATGGTGACTTTTTACCCACAAGTGCTACTTACTGCCTACAGCTTGTACAAGGAATTCTGCAAGTAGAATCTCATACTTAGAAATGTTGTCAAAAGGAATATTCTTTTTAAACTTGAAAGAATTGTGCAATGTGCAGATACTATGGGCATGCAAATGACAAGTGTGAGTCTTCAACTCTTAGACTGCAGGAATACCTTAGTATTCACTGAGTACCTCTAGAGCCACCATAGGGGTGAAGCAGAGGTCAGTCTGGCTGAGATCTAAACCCCTTTCTGGTGCAACCAGAGAATCTGTGGTTTTATGTTGAGTACCATTTCTTTTCTTTCTTGTTATTCTTTTTACAAATCTTTTTATTTTGAAATAAATACATAGTCACAGGAAGTTGGCAAAAATAGAATAGAGAGGTCCCATTTACCTTACACCCAGCTTCCCCAGTGAAAAATCTTACCTAACATAGTAAAATTCCTAGCCCAGTACCTTAGTTATCTAGTTCTGCTTTAACAGAAATACCACAAGTGGATGGCTTTAACAAACAGAAATTTATTCTCTCACAGTTTAGGAGGCTAGAAGTCTGAATTCAGGGCACCAGCCCTAGGGGAAGGCTTTCTGTCACTGTCAGCTCTGGAAGAAAGTCCTTGCCTCCTTTCAACATCTGTGGGCCTGATGTTCCTGGGAGATCTCCAGGTGTCTTGACATCAGTCTTCCCCTGGGTCTAGGAGGTTCTCAGCCCAGGGACCCTGGGTCCAAAGGACATACTCTGCTCTTGGCTCTTCTTTCTTGGTGGTAGGAGGTCCCTCATTTTCTGCTGGCTTCTTTCTCCTTTTATCTTTTGTAAGATAAAAGGTGATGCAGGCCACATCCTAGGGAAACTCCCTTTACATCAGATCGGGGCTGTGACCTAAGAGTGTTGCATCCTACCCTAGTCCTGCTTCATTAGCGTAAGCTATTCCTGTCTCATTAACATAACAGACAAATCACACCTAAATGGGACAATAACCACAGGCATCAGAAAAAAAACCAGTTGCTGTCAAGTCCATTCTGACTCATAGTGATCCTATAGGACAGAGTAGAACTTCCCCATAGGGTTTTCAGGGAGTGCCTCGTGGATTCAAACTGCCGACCTTTTGGTTACCAGGTGTAGCCCTTGACCACTACGCTATCAAGGTTTCCACCACAGGCATAGAGGTTAGGATTTACAACACATCACAAAATTGGAGGACAACCATACAATACTGGGAATCATGGCGTAGCCGAATTTACACATATTTTTTGGGGGACACAATTCAATCTATGACACCCAGGAAATTAACATTGGTATAATCCACAGACCTTATTCACATTTTGTCAGTTGTACGTGCACTTATTTGTGTATAGTTCTGTGCAGTTTATCATGTGTAGATTCATGTAATCACCAACACAATTAAGATACAGAACCTCGAAGAACCACCTTGCATTACCTCTTTATAGAGTAGTCAGACCCATCCTCCTCCTCAAGTCCTTAAGCCCTGGGAACCACTAATCTGGTCTCAATTTCTGAAATTTTGTCATTTTTAGAATGTTATATAAATGGAATCATACAGCATGTAACCTTTTGAGATTCACTTTTTTCACTCAGCATAATGTCCTCAACATCCATCTAAATATATTGTAATGTGTACCAATAAGTTGTTCCTTTTTATTGCAGAGTGCTAGATTCTGGGTATGGATGTACCACAATTTGTTGAACCATTCACCCATTGAAGGACATTGGGTTGCTTCTAGTTTTTGACTATTATGAATAAATCTGGTATGAACATTACAGGTTTTTGTGTAGACATAAGTTTTCATTTCTAAGGGCTAAATTCCTAGGAATGTGATTTCTGGATTGTATGATAAATGTCTATTTAGTTTTACAAGAAATTTGCAAACAGTTATCCAGAGTGGCCGTACCATTTTACATTCCCGCCACCAAAGTATCAGAGATCCAGTTTCTTTGCATCCTTCCTAGCATTTGGTATTTTCACCATTTTTAATTTTGGCTGTTCTAATGGGTATACATTGATATCTAACTGTAGTTTTAATTTGCATTTCCCTAATGGTTTATGATGTTGAACATCTTTTCATATGCTTATTTGTCATCTATATATCCTTTTTGGTGAAATGTCTGTTCATGTCTTTTGCTTATTTTTTTCCTGGATTTTTTTTTTCTTTACAGTTGAGTTTAGAGAATTTTTTATATAGTTTAGATACTATTCATTTGTCAGATAGGTGGTTTGCAAATATTTTCTCTCAGTCTATAGCTTTTCTTTTCATCCTCTTAATAGGGTCTTTCACAGAGAGCTAAAGTTTTTAATTGTCATGAAGTCAAATTTATGGTTTTTTTTTTTTCTTTTTTTTATGGATTGTGCTTTTGGTGTCATATGTACTCTTGGCCTACCCATACAACCCAGTGATTTGCTCTTTTGTTTTCTTCTAATAGTTTTTTTTTTTTTTAGTTTACCACTATATTTAAGTTTATGAACCATTTTGAAATTTTTTTTTATTAGTTTAGGTTATTGTTGTTGTGTGCCATCGAGTTGATTCCGACGCATAGCGACCCTATAGGACAGAGTAGAACTGCCCCATAGGGTTTCCAAGGAGCAGCTGGTGGAGTTGGACTGCTGACCTTTTGGTTAGCACCCGAGCTCTTAAGTATTATGCCACCAGGGCTCTATTAATTTAGGTAAAGTTTTATTTTCTTGCCTGTGGGTGTCCAATTACCCCAGTACCATTTATTGAAAAGACAAATTTTCCTTTATTAATTTGATTTTGCAACTTTCTCAAAAATTAGTTGACCATACTTGTATGGGTCTACTGTTGGGTTCTCTATTACGTTACATTAATCTGTGTATCTCTCTCTGCACAAATACCATCCTCTCTTGATTACTAATAAGTCTTAAAATTAAGTAATGTAATTTCTCTAACTTCCTTCTTTTTCAGGATTGTTTTAGCTCTTTTGCTTTTCCATATAAATTTTAGAATAAACTTTTCTATATCTCCATAAAATTTCACTGGGATTTTGTTAAGAATTGCATGAAATTTATAGATCAATTGAGGGATAATTGACATCTTTACTGTGTTGAGTCTTCCAATTCATAAACATGGTGTGTCTTTCTTTTTATTTAGATCTTTGATTTCTTTCAACAGCATTAATCAGATGCTTGATATATTAGCATAGTTTATAGTTGGGGAATTTTATGAGTTTGTGTAATTTGATGTCTGTTGTTGTTGTTAGGTGCCGTGGAGTTGGTTCTGACTCATAGTGACCTTATGTACAATAGAATGAAACACTGCCCGGTCCTGTGCCATCCTGATAATTGTTGGTATGCTTGAGCCTATTATTGCAGCCACTGTGTCAGTCCATCTTGTTGAGGGTCTTCCTCTTTTTTGCTGACCCTCTATTTTACCAGGCATGATGTCCCTTCTCCAGGGACTGGTCCTTCCTGATAGCATGTCATCAGTATTTGAGATGCATTCTCACCATCCTTGCATCTAGTGAGCTTTCTGGCTATACTTCTTCTAAGACAGATTTGTTTGTTCTTCTAGCAGTCCATGGTATATTCAGTATTCTTCGGCAACGCCGTAATTCAAAGGCATCAATTCTTCTTCGGTCTTCCTTATTCATTTATCGCTTTCACATGTATATGAGGTGATTAAAAACTCCATGGCTTGAGTGAGGCACACTGTAGTCCTCAAGGTGACATCTTTGCTTTTCAACACTTTAAAGAGGTCTTTTGCAGCAGATTTGCCCAATGCAATGCGTCATTTGATTCCTTGACTGCTGCTTCCCTGGGTGTTGATTGTGGATCCAAGTAAAATGAAATCCTTGACAACTTCAATCTTTTCTCCGTTTATCGTGATGTTGCTTATTGGTCCAGTGTGAGGATTTTTGTTCTCTTCTATGTTGAGGTGTAATCCATACTGAAGGCTGTAATCTTTGATCTTTATCAGTAAGTGCTTCAAGTCCTTTTCACGTTCAGCAAACAAGGTTGTGTCATCTGCATAATGCAGGTTGTTAATGAGTCTTCCTCAATCCTGATGCTGCGTTCTTCTTCATATAGTCCAGCTCCTCATACAGATTGAATAAATAGGGTGAAGGAACACAACCCTGTGTATTCTTGACTTTAATCCACACATACGCTTGTTCTGTTTGAACAGCTGCTTCTTGGACTAAGTACAGGTTCCTCATGAGCACGATTGAGTGTCCTGGAATTCCCATTCTTCGTAATGTTATCCATAATCTGTTATGATCCACACAGTCGAATGCCTTTGTATAGTCAATAAAGCACAGGGAAACATCTTTCTGGTATTCTCTGCTTTCAGCCAGGATCCATCTGACATCAGCAGTGATATCGCTTGTTCCACGTCTGCCTGAATCCGGCTTCAGTTTCTGGCAGTTCCCTGTTGATGTACTGGTGCAGCTGCTTTTGAATGATCTTCAGCAAAATATCATTTGTGTGTGATATTAATGATGTTGTTCGATAATTTCCGCATTCTGTTGGATCACTTTCTTTGGAATGGGTACAAATATGGATCTCTTCCAGTTGGTTGGCCCGGCAGCTGTCTTCCAAATAGCTTGGCATAGACGAATGAGTGCTTCCAGTGCTGCATCTGTTTGTTGAAACATCTCAATTGGTATTCCGTCAGTTCCTGGAGCCTCGTTTTTCGCCAATGCCTTCAGTGCAGCTTGGACCATCCGTTCTTGATCATATGCTACCTTCTGAAATGGTTGAACATCGATCGATTCTTTTTGGTAGAGTAACTCTGTGTATTCCTTCCGTATTCTTTTGATGCTTCCTGTGTTGTTTAATATTTTCCCTGTAGAATCCTTCAATATTGCACCTTGAGACTTTAATTTTTTTCTTCAGTTCTTTCAGCTTGAGAAATGCTGAGCATGTTCTTCCCTTTTGGTTTTCTATCTCCAGGTCTT